TGATTATTGACTCCAAACGTCGCAACATCCATCAAAATGCCACAATCAGACTGCCAAGTAGGCCAACGCAGCTACCTACCTCAGTCAAGTCAATGCTCGGAGTGCAGCGCAGCAATCACTTCATGACTCCCGACGGCATCCGTAATGAGGCAGAGGTGGCGGGCGGCATTCCGGCTTCGCAATATCAAGTCGCACGATGGTGATCCTTTGACAGGTGCGCATGCCGTCCCGCTGATGGCGCGACAGGTGCTTTCTTGGAGAAAGTCAACTTGCTAGTCCGAAATGCAAATGAACTGGTTGCAGCTCATGAAGGCAGAGTCACGAGTGTCAGACGCAAGAGCGGCCCGATGCAGGCGACAAGCACCCCCACCCGCGTCCACGCTAGGCTCGAGGCGCGTACAAGGTCATCTCATCCTCTTTACCTTGGCTTCGCGCAAAGCGTCAGCAACTCTTTGCTTCTCAGTCCCTCACCATCACACCACAACACACCGCGGGGCAGAAGGAGGATTGATTGTGGCGAGCGACCTGCCTCGTATCGCTTGTCACACACCTGGCCGCTGTACGTCGGCCTTCATCTGCCAACCGCACCTCGAGCTCATTATTTAGCATGATGGACCCACGCGGCTCTTCTCTCGACCCTTGCAACGCTCGCGGCACCTGATCTGGAGCAAAGCATAAGTTAAACAAGTCCCTAGACCGTACATTACAAGTGCAAAAAGACCATTCTGCTGGCCCCGCACCTCACGGCCTCACGAAAACCTGGAGCACAAAAAGTGCGCCCCGCCCGGCTACGCTCTCTCACCTCGACCACTACCACGACCTCCACCACCACCACCACCACAACCACCACCACTCCACTCGGCTTGCCTGTTGTTAGGTGAACATGATGAAGCTCGCCAAGTGGTCGCTCCTTGCAACGTTGTCCATCGCTTCCACGCTCGTAGCGGCCGACCCTTACCCGCTACCCAGCAAAGACGACTTTTATCAGGTGCCCGGCAACGTCAATCAGTACAACAATGGCGACATTATCGCCGCTCGCGAGGTCACTCGCGACATGAATCGTTACATTTCACGCCTGCTGCTCACTTCCAGCTATCAGGTCCTGTACCGTACAACAGATGCTACGGGCAAGCCAGATGCAACCGTGGCTACTTTGTTCCGCCCGAGAAGAGCTTTGGATGGCCCGCCAAAGATAATCGCTCATAGCTTGTACGCCGAAGCGCCCGCTAGGGACTGTGCTGTCTCTTTCGGCCTCATCGAAGGAAATCGCAAGGAGCCGCGCAATTCCGGACAGGAACAGCCTGGCATCTTCATCAGCCAGCTATTGCAAAAAGGTTATTACGTGAGTCTTACCTGGACTTGGCTGATGGTCCATCTTGCTGACACTCGTGTCGGTGCACAGGTCGTCACCTCAGACTACAGCGGCTCCCAGGGAGCTGTTGGCGTCGGTCCTCAGGGAGGCCGCGCAATCCTTGATTCCATCACCGCAATGGTCAGCCATAAGCCCACCGTTGAAGGCGCGTCGGACTACAAAGCTATCATGACTGGTCAGGCCGCTGGCGGTCTGGTGACAGCCTGGGCTGCTCAGCTGCACAAGGAGTACGCACCCAACGTCAAGCTCGTTGGAGCCAGCTTTGGCAGTGTGCCCATCAGTCACGAACTTGAAGCGCGCAGACTGAACGGCACAGAGGGTGCCGGCATCGTCGTCGCCGGTCTAGTTGGCGTTGCGAATGCATATCCTAGCGTCTTGCGATTCTACCAGCAAGATTTGAAACCAGAAGGTATGCAAGCTTTCGAGACTGTCAAGACCGATGGCGGGTGCCTGCAAAGTATTCTCGAAACGTACAAAAATGTTTCCATCTTCAGTTATTTCAAATCCGGCGAAAGGTTTCTAGACAAGCCTGTGATCAAGCAAGCAAATCTGGCAATGTATCTGGGCGCAAGAGGACGCCGCGACGATCTTGGCAGCCGCATCCCATACTACATTTTCCACGGCGCGAAAGATGTGGTGGTGCCCATCAAGCCAATGAAAGATTACGTCAAGAAGCAGTGCGCAGCAGGAGCACGAATCGAGTTTTCTGTCAATCCTGATGGAGATCACGAGTCCGAGCTCACTGCAAGCCTTCCAGGCCAAATGGACTTCATTGAAAAGACTTTTGGAGGTCAGAATAATCAGACAGGTTGTACTGACACCACTCACGGAGACGACAATCAAGGCTCCTTGGGCGGTCTTGGATCTGCAGGAGGTGGTGGACTTCTTGGTGGCGGTGGCCTCGGCGGGAATCGTGGCGGAGGCGGAATGGGGGGAGGGCTTTCTAGTGGCGGAAGCGGACAGGGAGGTGGCGGTGGCGGAACCGGTGGAGGTCTTCTTGGTGGCGGTGGCCTCGGCGGGAGCCGTGGTGGAGGCGGAACGGGGGGCGGATTCCCTGGAGGCGGTGGCCTTGGCGGAGGCGGGATGGGAGCAGGTCTTCCTAGCGGCGGTGGCCTTGGCGGAGGAGGAACAGGGGGAGGGTCTGGAAGACTGCGGAAGAGGGCGACGAAACATCGGGCTCGCACGGCGATTTGAGACTCTCTCACCCATTGCTTTAACACCGAGACTCCTTCTCAGACCTCAGAATGTGGCTCTCTTAATTGAGAACAGGCGTGTGCAAGACCCGCAAATCGCCAGCACAGTTGCGGACTCTGTTTCTCCTCTGCTCTTTAAGGGGCGACTCCCTGCTGGAATCTTTCTCATTTCCCCGTACCGACCGAGCTTCAGCTTTGGATTTTGTTGTACTGTGCCTGCGAGAAATGTGCCGCGTATCTCATATGGCCTAGTGCCCTGTGCTACACTTACCACCAACAGAATTGCGTGTTTCTGAATTTCAAATGCAATGTTTTTCGATTCTCCAAAGCGGGTGTCGTTTGAGATGAAAGGGTCGATTTCCTGACTGCTATGTGCTTGGGGTCCACCCATGCGCGCTAAAAGTCACACGAACGCGTTGTTCATCGCCAAGCCAGCTCGCACATTGCGGTTGATGTGTCACGAAAGCTTGTGAGGTTTGCATGGTCATGGGGCAGCATGTTGCGGCCTTCGTCGGTATGAGAAGCGACCGTGAAAGCGGATCAAAAGGAAGGGAAAACAGAAAGGTTACGTGGACGTATAACCGTACGATCTCCCTCATGGCCCCCCAACTTGGGCATTCAAGGGGTACCAAAGCGATACAAAGGTTGCGTGGTCATTGTTAGTTTGGGTTTGGCGTTTGGCGGACTCTTCGCGGATGAATCCATCGGCATCGCATTCAATTTTGACACGTCGGAAGTTACGATCAACTCAAGTCGCTCCAATCAGCAAGCAGACGTTGTGAGAATGCCTCGCTGGCCTTACATCTGGCTCTACATCATGAGACGCGTGAAGCTTTGAAGGTTCTCATTCGCCAGGCGAGCTCGCGAGGAGGTGAAATACCGCGTCACTGGCAGTGATGGGGTGCAGCAAATTTACGAGGCAATGCGCAAGTGATCAATACAAAGCAATAGTAGTATCGCGAGCTCAGAACTCGAAGTACGTGGTCAAGCCCATAACGTTCTTTGGATCGTACTTCTTCCTGAGCGTTCGAAGCCTCTGTGCGCTCTGGGGACCATAGACTTTGTTTGAACTGGTGCCCGCAATCGCGTAATTGGGGTACAAGTAGACATCGTCAAGGTTTTGGCCCTCCTTGACAGCTTGGGCTCGCAAGAGGGCTGCCGTTTTTTTGATCTCCTTGGCCCAGAATGCATCGTCGAGAGGGTTCAGCCACGTAAAGTAAATGTTTAGAGGTAGTGGAGATTGGTCGTGGGGCCAAGCACCTCCTTTGTTCGTGCCTGCCGCATAGTTGGGCAGGAAGGGCTCCACATCGTACGAAGTGAAGACGCCAGAGTGGAAAGGCTGCTCAGAGCCGTAATAGCGGGTCTGGTTGACGATTTGCTGCAAGATGGGAATAGAATAGGACTTGAAAGTGACAGAGTGGAAAGCACCTCTCTGACCAGCTGTGGCGTTCGAAGGCGACGAGCGCACAAGATCGCCGAAGGATCGAGTTTTCCAGTCAGAAGTAAAGGTATTGAAGCCGGGCTTGTTGAACGCGGCAAAGACGTCGGCAGGCGGCGTAGGACCGTCATAAAAGGCCAGCAAAGACACACCGGGTTGACCCAGCACGTGATTGATGGTTGGGATCACCTGCGCTTTGGGATCTTTGTTGTGAACAGCAAAGCTGCAGCCGAAAGCCCAATCAGGAGACCGTGAGCGACGCGTTGAAAAGCAGACCTGCTCGTCTTTTTGCTCTCGAGATCGACTCACTCGTACGTCGCCTGAACGACATTGTCGAGCTGATCCTGGGTGTAAGTTCTCAAGCCTCCCCATACCTGCGCGACCTGAGGAACGCTCTTCAACCTGAAATTGTAGATCACCCCAAAGCGGTTGCCGCCTCCCTTGATGGCCCAGAAGAGATCCGGGTCAGAAGCAGCGGTGACGCTTTGTACTTTGCCAGAGGGTGTGACTAGATCTGCTTGCAGGAGCGTGTCGATGGTCAGACCGTACTGATTCGTCTTCCAGCTGAAACCGCCTCCACCTGTGATGAAGCCGCCAACTCCTACGCCAGTCACGCGTCCTCCGACCTGTGAGCCAGCAGATTGTGAGGGATGCTGATTAGCGCACGCAACCGCGATGGAGGGCGTGGATTGGATACACGTCGATGGGACTCACGATGTTGTAGCCAGATCCTTCCAGTGCGGCATACACGTTATCCCAAATATTGCCGCTTCCTACGTCGACGTAAGACTTGTCTTGACTGAGCGTAACGTGCTGGAAGCCCTTTAGGCTGATTTCCACGCCAGTGGTGGAGGAGAAGCCAGCGTTGGAGGCGTGTCTGCCGCTCGAGACTGCAAAGGAGACTCGCTTCTGGCCAATGATTTTGACGGCGCTGGCGAGGTCCTTGGGCGTGGTAGGGATGAAGACGCAAGTGGGAGTGTTGGCTGCCGAGCTGATGTACCGCCCGGTCGAGAGCAAGTAGTTGAAGCCGCCAAAGTATTCGAGGGTCGAGACTGGCGTTGCGGTGCGGTCGATGGCAGCCTCGATGGCTTTGCAGGCATCCAGATTGGTAGCGTTGAAGAACCTGGGAGCAAAGGTGCGCCTTATGGCCTGGTCAGCGATGCTGCCAGAGGCTGTGGGAATGAGGGTAGCGAGCAGGGGGAGGCTGAGAGCTAGAAGCGCCAACAAGGCGGTCAAGCTTGGTGAGGGTATCATCTTGAGTCGACTGGAGCGGAGCGGACCGTGGCTAAAGGAAGCGAGAAATGGAGGTAGTGAAGGAGCAAGGGCAGGTGCGGAAGGAGGAGATGCTTGATTGTATCGCTACTTAAAAGAGGAAGCCAAAGAACGACAATGGCGGACAGCACCGTTGACTGCAGCGAGTCAGATGCGAGCGAGACCAGTACCGATAGCTGCAAGTCCTAGCTCCGACGCGGGGAAGGACAGGAGAGGAGCCGCTGAGCATGATTTGATGGGTGGGACGGGCAGCCACAGGAGCGGTGGAAGGATCAGAATCACGATTTGGAGCGGGGCTGCAGGGTGCACCACAGTGGACACAAGGCCTCGAGATGCGGAGACACCCGTCCGAGGCAGAGTAGTCACAGTGGTGCGTGAGTCCCAAGCCGAGATGGCACTATCCTGCGCGTGACCATGCTTTCTTGGCCTGCAGCTGCATTCATTCACAATTTGCACCACATCGCTGGCTGCGAGGATTGAGATGGTGGGAGAAGTTCCGCTGCAGGGAACCTCGGAACCCGCGGAATTTACATTCACGATTGTTCGTTCGGTTACGACTTGGGCGCGCACCCATCACAATCGCGGTGCTCACGCACGCAGCAGAGAGTGAGGGACGCAACTACGATGGTGTACATTTTGACTACGATGCAGATCGCTCGCCAGCCATGAAGATCAGGTGGAGTCGTGAGTGGATCTGTCAAGTCTGTGCACGACGCCGCCTTGACCTTCGTCCTGATGGCAAAGGGCCGTTACTCATGACGGTTTGAAGGTGCGGCCATGCTCAATGTACCAACGGTCACCGAGTCAAGCAGCGCGGTACCTATCGCCGACGCCAGGTACAGTGCCGAAGGATGTAGATAGGCATCCACTCTAGACCCACGATTGTACCGTGCCTCTTGCGCCATGTCACTCCTGAGGTACCCGAACCTTGTGTGCCTCGCCAGCAGCAACAGCGTGCAGAAAAGCCGTAAGAAGAGGAAAGGTTGCTTGCCTGCTGCACGGCTCCGCTGTAATTTCGAACATTGTATGCACGATTGCAGATCATCCATCCGCATCGCTATGCAGATCGATGCGATGACTTTGACTGCGAGGCTGCCACTAGTAAGTAGTAGTAGTAGTAGTAGCAGTAGCACTAAAGGCAGCCATGGCAGGCCATCCACTCTTGACTCACACACTGCTTCGCTATGCATGCATGCATGCATGTCGCGAGCAAGCAAGCATGCATGCATGAGTTGTTCCGAGATGCACTCATCACTCGACGCAGTCACGACCAAGTGTCTGACCACAGCGGGTGGTGCGGGCGCGCTGTGAAGTGAGTCACATGAATGACGCTGGCCGGTCACATGTATGTTCTCGAGCGAAGCTGGCCGGCACCGCGCACTTGATGCCTGCTGCTGGGTTGAGAGCTTGCGCTTTGCCCGGATAAATATAGGCGAGCACACCCAATTTTTTGTTCGAACGCACGCGCGTTACGGCCGACGCGAGTGAAGCATCAGCATCGGCCGCCGCTCGCATGCACGCACAGCATAGGATGTTCCGTGCGGAGTCACAGTCACGAGTAGCGGATCAGCAGTCGCGTTTGGTTCATCCGTCCTGCCTGAGCGTAGATCACCGGGCATATGTCTCTCCTTCCAGCCAGCTACGAGTGGTCAGCTGACATGGCCATTCATCCCTCCACATCTCTTCAAGCATTTCGCCACATCTGCATCAGTCCACACGCCGATATAAGGGCTGCAGCACCCCATCCGATCACTCCCATTCATCAACCCTATCAATTAAACAGATAGTTGCAAACATGTCCCATCCCTCATCACGAACCCC